AGTGTATAGTCATTAAATATTTGCTGAATGCATGAATGAATGTACTATTGGGGCAGAGCAATTGAAGGCTATTGTAGGTATCAAGTGAGAGGTAGAGTGGCTTCACTACGATTTTCGTGGTAGACATGAAGCCACATATTTAGAAGAAAGAGACAGAATTTCCAGGACATACTGACTCTTTGGATGTGGAATGTGGAAAAGAATTGAGGAAGATGCCCTGGTTTTGACCTTAGCAATTGTGTATAAGGCTGTTTACTATGGTGGATAGGGAATTTATTAAATTTATAAGTGTGTGATAGTAGTGTGGAGTCTTTGGATGGTGCAGCCCAAAGGCTGGCGGTTCGAGTCTACCCAGAGTCGCCTTAGGAGAAAGCCCTGATGATCTAGTGCCAAAATGGTCAGCCATTGAAAACTATGGAGCACATTTCTACTCTGGCACACGTGGGTTGCCATGAGTCAGAATTGACTTGATGGCAACTGGTTTGGCAGTTTTTTGGATGTTAGTGAGAAGGTTTTAAATAACAGTGGCACAAAAGTGGATTAGGTAATTGTGCTAATGTTCTTGTTCTCTTGCTCCGTATGTTTCTCCCTAACCTGACTCAGGAAAGATCTTTTCAGATACAGTTCTGTAAAGGTTTAAACACAGAAGAAAACATTCTTTGATGGTTATGAGGGTCGGGAGAGAGGGTGAGGGTTATTCCCTAACTAGATAGTAGACAAGCATTATCTTAGGTGAAGGGAAGGACAGCATTCACTACAGGGGAAGTCAGCACAGCTGGACTAAACCAAAGCTAAGAAGTTTCCTGAATACAGTCAGAAACTATGAGGGACAGAGTCGCAGGGGTGGGGCTCTGGGGACCATGCTTTCAGGGGACATCTAGGTCAATTGGCATAACAAAACTTATTAAGAAAATGTTCTGCATCCTGCTTTGGTGAGTGGCGTCTGGAGTCTGAAAAGCTTGCAAGCAGCCATCCAAGATGCATCAGTTGGTCCCAACCACCTGGAGTAAAGGACCATGAAGAACACTAAAGACACAAGGAAAGTATTAGCCCGAGAGACAGAAAGGGCCATGTAAACCAGAGACTTCATCAGCCTGAGACCAGAAGAACTAAATGGTGCCTGGCTAGCACCAGTGACCTCCCTGACAGAGAACACGACAGAGAGTCCCTGATGGAGCAGGAGAAAGGTGGGGTGTAGAACTCAAATTCTACTAAAAAGACCAGACTTAATGGTCTGACTGAGACTGGAGGAACCCCGGAAAGCATGACTCCCAGATTCTGTATCAGGCCAGAACTAAAACAATTTCCGAGGCCAACTCTTCAGACCAAGATTGGACTGGACTGTGGGACATAAAATGATACTCGTGAAGAGTGTGCTGCTTAGCTCAAGTAGATACGTGAGACTAAATGGGCAGCTTCTGTCAAGAGGTGAGATGAGAAGGCAGAGAGGATTAGGAGCTAGTTGAATGGACATGGGAAATCAGGAGTGGAAAGGAGGAGTGTGCTGTCACAGTATGGGAAGAGCAGTTAGGATCACATGACAATATATAAATTTTTGTATAAGAGACTAACTTGAATGTAAACTTTATCACTTAAACTACAACAATAAACAACAACAAAAAACAAATACTGTTCTGTGATTTGTTAGCTTATACTCAGTTAAGACTATATGGAGAGCTGACTTGAACTCAAGACAAAAGCCTCAATCATAAGGCTTAGTAGTTGCCAGTCAGATTTGGCACTGCTGTTTTTGTAAACTACAGAACTGCGGAATCACGGTTTTTTGGTTTTTTTTTTAATTTCATTTAGTTTGTTCTGTGAATTTTGCATGGTCTTACTACAACCTTCATTCATCTGAAGTAGCCTCACATTGTCACTAAGTGTGTGGGCCAAAATGTTTCCCAGTGCCACACTGTCTTAATTATCCTACCATTAAAATAAGTCTTGGTATCTGGTAGGGAAAGTCATGCCACCACAATGCTCCTTTTTTTTCCTCGCTCACCAAAATATCATGGTTTTTCCTGGCTTTTTGGTTTTCCATGTAAATTTCAGAAATAGCTTGTCCAGTTTCCATGAAGGAGGAAAAAAACCTGTAGGGAATTTAATTGGAAGTACATAAAATCTGTAGCTCACTGACAGGAGAATTGACATCTCTCTTAGTTATCTAGTTCTGCCATAGCAAAAAATACCACAAGTGAGTGCTTTAAAGAACAGGAATTTCTCACAGTTCAGGAGGTTAGAAATTTGAATTCAGGGTGTAGCTCAAGGAGTTCCTTCCTGGAGTTCCTTGGCATAGCTAGTGTCTGTCTCCCCGCTGTGTGTCTCTGTGTCTAATCTGCTTTTTATAACTCAAGTGATGAGGTTTAGGACCCACCCTACAATGGTATGACCTCATTAACATAAAAGAAAAACCCTTATTTGCAAACAGGATCACAGCCACAGGTATAAGGATTAGGATTTCAATACATATTTTGAGAGGACACAATTCAATCCAGAATAACATCTTTACCATTTTTAAAATCTTTCTATCCATTAAAATGAGATCTCTCTTTGTTTAGGTTTTCTTTCATGTCTCTTAATAAAGTTTAATTTTTTCCATGGTGTTGTTGCACGTCTTTCCTAGATTTATTTCTGGTACTTTATTTCAGATGTTAGTTTAAATGGTTTCTCTCTTTCTCTTTTTTTTTAAGTAAATATTTTAAATATTTGTTGCTAGTGTTTGGAAGTGCAATTGTTGATAAATATTCATCTTATATCTAACAATTTGCTATAGTTTCTTGTTAATTCTTTATTTGCAAGAGCTTTTGGATTGTCTCAATACTCAGTCATCAACTGCATATTATGGTTTTGTAGCTTCCTTTCTAATCCCTATACCTCCCATAGTGCCCACCCCCATCCCCTTTAGCTTACTGTAATGCCTTCTGCACAGTGTTAATAGAGGTTATGTCTCTGTTATGGCCTGCAAGGTCCTTCATCATCCAGCCATTACTGCCATTACTCTCTGACCTCATCTCCAGCTCCTTTCTTCTTGGTTCACTCTGAGTTAGCCACCCTGGCCTCCTTGCATTCTCTGAACACACCAGCCACATGCCCACCTCAGGACCCTTACATTTGCTAGTCACTGGACTAGAATGTGCTTCCCCCAGGTGCTTGCCCGGTTTCTTCCTCACTTCCTTCAGATCTTCACTCAAATATCACCTTTCCAGTAAGGCCTTCCCTACTTGCCCCCCTTTTTTTTTCCTCTTTTAAACAACTTTTTTGCACCATATTTTGCGTATAATTTGCCCATTTCAAGCGTACAATTCAGTAATTTTTAATAAATATGCTAAGTTGTACAACCATCACCATAAATCAGTTTTGGAACATTTTCATCACCCTAATAATGTCCCTGTGCCCATTGACTGCTAATCACTATTCTCACTCCCTGCCCCAGGTAAGACACTGATCAATTATCTGTCTATAAATTTGCCTTTTCTGGACATTTTATATAAATGGAATCAGAATGTGTGGTTTCTTGTGTCTTGCTTTTTTCACTTAGCAAGTATTTTCACTTAGCAAGTATTTCACTTAGCATCAGTATTTCATTTCTATTTATGGCTGAATAAGAGTCCACTGTATGGATATATCACATTTTGTTTTTCCATTTATCAGTTGATGGACATTTGAGCTGTTTCCCACTTTTGACTATTATGAAAAGTCATAGCTTCCCTATCTTGAAGAGTAACCTTTCCTCTCCAGCAGCACACTTTCTCTCCTTCCCTGCTGTATTTTTTCATTATTTACCACTATCCAGCGTACTATATATTTCGCTTATCTTGTTTGATGTTTGTCTCCTTCACTAGAATCCAAGCTCCATGAAGACAGACATTTTTGTCTCATGTTGATCACTGTTGTACCTTTGGGTCCTAGAACTGTGCCTGGCATATGCTAGGCAGTCAGTAAACATTTGCTGAATGGACTAAAGGAATGAACGAATTGGATATTTACATAAAATGAACTATTTTATGATTTAAGTAGTTTGATGTTAATTTCTGGAATTTTACTATTTCTAACCTCCTCTGTAATAATTTATGATGTTTTAGGGTACCTTCCAGAGACTTCTGATAGTTGTGAGATTTTTATCATTAGTGACTTTTTGTAGGAAGAAAGGCCTAGCAATCTACTTCCAAAAATCAGCCAGTGAAAACTCTGGATCACAATCGTCCCATCTGCAGCCTATCTTGGGGATGACGCAGGACCAGATAGCATTTTGTTCCATTGTACATGGGGTTGTCATGAGTCGGAGCCTGACTGGAGCAGCTAACAACGAGTGACTTTTTACTAATGTGTTGTCAGTGCTCTGATTACTGTGGCAGTATAGTATGAGGTCTAGCCATGGTATCACATGCTGCATAAACATGGTGACCTACCTGGACAAGGGAGCATGTCAGAAAGCACAGAACTCCAAAGTCTATCCTGTGTAAAGTGTTCCTCTCTAGCAGAAATCCACATTTGGAAGACATTTTTCTTGTGTCTATATATTATGAAGTGGTAGAGGAAGTCTTTTGATGAGGCAGTATTGAATAAAATGGCTTATGTCTCTGATTTAGTTTCTCTGTACTTTGGATTATTTGTCTTGTTTGGTGGTTAAGAGCTCTGCTGCTAACCAAAAGGTCAGCAGTTTGAATCCACCAGCCACTCCTTCAAAATCCTATGGGGCAGTTCTACTCTGCCCTGTCAGATCACTATGAGTCAGAATTGACCTGATGGCAACGGATTTGGTGGTTTTTGTCTTGTTTAGTCAACAAGTGAATATTAGATTGGGCAGTATTTGATGACAAGATGTTGCTGAAATTTCTTTTGTAATCTATTTTCATTTTGCAAAAACAATGCCTCACAATAAACAAAAAGTATTTCCCTTTTTATAATTTGTGATTTTATCTGAAATGTTGCTTTTGTGTTTGCTCAGGTGGTAATTTTTTCCTTATTTTTAAATTTTTTAACTGCTGTTTTTGATGCAGATAAATACTGAGGAGCATGTGGATGCAGCTGATCAGGAGGTTATCTTATGGGATCATAATATTCCTGAGGATATCCTGAGGGAAATAACTACCCCGAAAGAGGTACCAGCAGAAAGCGTTACTGTCTGGATTGACCCACTTGATGCTACACAGGAGTATACAGGTAATTTAAAACACTGATCTCAAACTTTAGATTGCCGTTAAATGTTGGAGAACTAGACTCCCTCTCCCTCTCCAACCCCCCACCCTCTCTGAAAATGCAGGTGGTATATACATGAAGGTAGATATTTTGGAAATCCAAAACAACTTTTCCAATTAAATTTTAAGACAGCTGAGTTAATGCACTGGGGTGTGAGACATTTGAACTGGATCAGTGATGGTCAGCCTCTCCCCCACCCCCACCCCCCATCCACTGTATTATGGCCCACTCCTGTCAGTGACAGTGGCTCACTCTGTCACTGATTGTTTCTTCAGGGAAGGGGAGTTTTCAACAATAACATTAGGAAGGTTTCCACTGGACACCCATTTATTGAGGAGATTTATTTAGCCAGAATACAATATTTACTTGAGATATTGAGAATTTAGGTTTTATTGCATATACATTTGACCTTGAAATTCAAAATAGTCAATTCCTAGGCACTCAGAAAGCAAGTAAGTAGCAAAACAGAATTACTGTCCTCACTGCTGTCTTAAGCTGGCTCTCATCAGTGGACTCTCATCAGTGTTTGAGGGGACTGTTGTCTAAATTTCATCTAAATAAATTTTAATGAAACAAAGTATATCATTGTATCCTGAATTTGTACTTTGTTACTTTGACAATTGTGTAATATTTTTCTTTTTGTTCTCAGAGGATCTTCGAAATTATGTCACTACTATGGTGTGTGTGGCTGTAAATGGCAAACCTGTGCTAGGAGTAATACATAAGCCATTTTCTGAATATACAGGTATGAAATATACTAGAACTTGCAGGAGTTAACATTATTGAACCATTTGTCTATAGTGCTTACCATCATACGGGAATCTCAACTGTGACTAAGTAATTATTAAAGTCCAACCACTCCATGACGTCACCTTATTGCCTGGATACAATGCGGATTTTAATATTGGTACTGATGGTAGATGACAAAGCAAGGCTTTCAGAACTTTCTTTAGGGAATAGAAATGGTGTTGAAGATGAGAGCCTTTCATCGTGGTGGGGGTTAGAGTTGGGTACAGACTCCGTAGCAGCTGAGATCTTCTCTGTTTCTCTCATGCCGTTGTTGGGGTTGAGGTCTAAGGCTGTTATACCTTGTATTCCATGTGGACCCTGTGGTTCAGCATGCAATTGCTGTAGCCAAATCAGCTGTCATACCAGAGCTTGACGTGGTGGTGGTTGAGAGTATTGCCAGCCTCAGCATTAAAAGTGGAGGAGTTGGTGTCACTGTGAAATTCTCAAGAGTCAGGCTAATGCCTGTGTAGCCCAGGATACCCTTCAGAGCGCCTTAGGACCCCTTGCTTCCCCACCTTGTTGGTAACAGGTCAGATCCGCGATGGTCATGCTGGGAATGGGGTATGGAAGACTGTGCCAAAGAGCTTCCCATTCAGCTCAAGAGTGACCTTGCCCATAATCTTCCTTGCTAGTTCTAAGAGATACAGGGATGGCATTTTGGCAGCACCACAGCCATTACTCTGCATGTTGACAGAAGGGCTAGCCATGGTCTTCTCGGTGGCATGATGTTGTAGACTGTGGTCACAAGTCCACAGTGACACCATGAGTTGTGATGGGTGGGGGGGAGCAAACAGTTAATGATATAGCAGTATTGCTGACAGTTTTAAGGGAATTGTCATACTTTTCATTAGTTTGTTGTTGTTAGGTCCTTGAGTCGGTTCTGACTCTTAGCATTCCTGTGTACAACAGAACAAAACACTGCCCGGTCCTGTGCCATCCTCAAAATCATTGCTGTGTTTGAGCCCATCATTGCAGCCACTATGTTGGTCCATCTCGTTGAGAGTCTTCCTCTTTTTTGATGACCCTCTGCTTTACCAAGCATGATGTCCTTCTCCAGGGACTGGTCCCTCCTAATGACATGTCCAAAGTATGTGACACACAGTCTTGCCATCCTCACTTCTAAGGAAGCACTCTGGCTATACCTCTTCCCAGACGGATTTGTTCGTTCTTCTGGCAGTCCATGGTATATTCAATATTCTTCACCAACACCATAGTTCAAAGGCCTCGATTCTTCAGTCTTCCTTATTCATTGTTCAGCTTTCCTATGCATATCAGGTGATTGAAAATATTGTGGCTTGTAAGGCACCCCTTACCCAAAGTGACATCTTTGGTTTTCAACATTTTAAAGAGGTCTTTTGCAGCAGGTTTGCCCAATGCAAATACGTCATTTGATTTCTTGACTGCTGCTTCCATGGATGTTGATCGTAGATCCAAGCAAAATGAAATCCTTGACTTCAGTCTTTTCTCTGTTTATCATGATGTTGCTTATTGGTTCAGTTGTAAACATTTTTGTTTTCTCTCTGTTGAGGTGTACTCCATACTGAAGGCTATAGTCTTTGATCTTCATCAGTTTCAGTGATTCAAGTCCTCTTCACTTTCAGCAAGCAAGGGTGTATCGTCTGCAAATTGCAGGTTGTTAACGGATCTTCCTTCAGTCCTGATGAAAGAAGAGAACCCTGATGCACACCTTCCCTGATTTTAAAACACGCAGTATCCCCTTTTTCTGTTGGAATGACTGCCTCTTGGTCTAGGTACAGGTTCCACATGAGCACAGTTATGCGTTCTGGAATTCCCATCCTTTACAATGTTATCTATAATTTGTTATGGTCCACATAGTTGAATGCCTTTGCGTAGCCAATAAAACCCAGGTAAACATCTTTCTGGTATTCTCTGCTTTCAACCACAATCCATCTAACATCAGCAGGGATATCCCTAGTTCCATGTCCTCTTTTGGAATCTGGCTTGGATTTCTGGCAGTTCCCTGTTGATGTCCTGCTGCAACCATTTTTTAATTGTCTTCAGCAAAATTTTACATGGGTGTGATAATAATGATATAGTTCGATAATTTCAACATTCTGTCAGGTCATCTTTCTTTGGAATGAGCACAAGTATGGTACTCTTCCAGTAGGTTGGCCAAGTAGCTGTCTTCCAGATTTGTTGGCATAGATGAGTGAGCACCTCCAATGATGAATGCATTTATTGAAACATCTCAGTTGGTATTCCATTAATTCCTGGAGCCTTGGTTTTTGCCAGTGCCTTCAGTGCATCTTGGACTTCTTCCTTCAGTACCATCAGTTCTTGATCATATGCTACCTTCTGAAATGGTTGAACATCAGCCACCTCCTTTTGGTATAGTGACTCTGTATTCCTTCCATCTTCTTTTGATGCTTCCTGCATCGTTCAATATTTTACCCATAAAACAAAACCAAACTCGTTGCCATTGAGTCAGTTCCGACTCATAGCGACCCTCTGGGACAGAGTAGAACTGCCCCCACAGGGTTTCCAAGGAGTGACTGGTGGATTCCAACTGCCAACCGTTTGGTTAGCAGCCTAGCTCTTAACCACTAGAATCCTTTAAAATTGTAACTTGAGGCTTGAATTTTTTCTTCAGTTCTTTCAGCTTGAGAAATGCTGAGCGTGTTGTTCGCTTTTGGTTTTCTCTACTCCAGGTCTTTGCACATTTCATTATAATACCTTACTTTTTCTTCTCAAGCCGCCCTTTGAAATCTTCTGTTCAGCTCTTTTACATCATCATTTCTTCCATTCACTTTAGCTACTCTGCATTCAAGAGCAACTTTCAGAGTCTCTGCTGACATCCGTTTTGGCCTTTTATTTCTTTCCCGTCTTTCTGATGACCTTTTGGTTTCTTCATATATGATGTCCATGATGTCATCCCATAACTCGTCTGGTCTTCGGTCATTTTTGTTAAGTGCATCAAATCTATGCTTGAAATAGTCTTTAAATTCAGGTGGGATATACTCAAGATCATACTTTGGCTCTTGTAAACTTGTTTTAATTTTCTTTAGCTTCAGCTTGAAATTAGACATGAGCAATTGATGGACCGTTCCGCAGTTGGCCCTTGGCCTTGTTCTGACTGATGATATTGAGCTTCTCCATCATCTTTTTCCACAGACGTAGTTGATTTGATTCCTGTGTATTCCATCTGGTGAGGTCCACGTGTATAGTCGCCATTTACGTGGTTGAAAAACATATTCACAATGAAGAAGTCGTTGGTCTTGCAAAATTCTGCCATGCAATCTCCAGTGTTGTTTCTGTCACCAAGGCCATATTTTCCAACTACCAACCCTTCTTTTTTTCCAACTTTCACATTCCAGTCACCAGTAATTATCAACGTGTCTTGATTGCATGTTTGATCAATTTCAGACTGCAGAAGTTGGTAAGAATCTTCAGTTTCCTCATTTTTGTCATTAGTGATTGGTGTATAAATTTGAATAATATTTGTATTAACTGGTCTTCCTTGTAGGCATATGGATGTTATCCTATCACTGACAGTGTTGTACTTCAGGATAGATCTTGAAATGTTCCTTTTGATGATGAACATGGTACCATTCCTCTTCTATTTGTTATTCCTGGCATAGTAGACCATATGATAGTCTGATTCAGAATGGCTAATACCAGCCCATTTCAGCTTACTAATGCCTAGGGTATCAATCTTTATGTGTTCCATTTCGATTTTGGCAACTTCCAGTTTTCCTAGATTCATACTTTGTGTGAACATCCATCAGAAATATGGGGCAAAGATGATGAAATAACCCTTTTAGCTCCACTCTTCTCTAAGATGATGAAGTTCCTGATTGTGACAGTATGCACTCTACCAGTGTTGAGAGCAGCCCTGATGACCAGGTAGAGTGATTTGAATAGTGTCCCCCAAAAAATTCATGTCCACCTGGAACCTCAGAATGTGACCTTATTTGGAAATAGGTCTTTGCAGATACAGTTAAGGTAAGGATTGACATGAGATCATACTGGATAGTGCGGGCCCTAAATCCAGTGAGAATGTAAGAGGCGGCAAAGGATGCAGACACAGACACAGCGGGAAGAGGAAGATGGAGGCAGAGATTGGAGTGATGCTTTTACAAACTAGGGAATGCCAGAGTGCTGGTTAACTACCAGAAGCTAAGACAGTCATGGAATAGATTCTCCCTCAGAGTCTACAGAAGAAACCCACACTGCTAACACCTTGATTCTGGACTTCTAGCTTCCAGAACTAGGAGAGTATGAATTTCTGTTGTTGTAAGTCACCCAGTTTGTGGTAACTTTGATGGGAGCCCTAGGACATTAGAATGCAGGCATCCTGTATGGTAGTTTGCTCCGGCCTTCTCTTGTTGTGTCTCCTGTGCAGCTGACACAACACAGGAGGCTGTCTGTCAAGTGGGGAGAAATAGATGGGTTAATTTTGGATCACTCTAAAAGTAATTTATTTGCTTTGCAGAAAAACCTTGGATTACAAATCCTAGCTCCTCTGAGATAGGCTAGACATAAATTTGATGTCTCTGCATTTCAAAGCCAGATCTGCTTTGTGCTATCTGACCTTTTATCTCCTTTTGGTAATTTAGATAGTCTTTAAAGTTGACAATTTGATGAACTGCAAAAGATTTATGTAGTTGCTGTAATAATATGCCTTAAAATTAATTACATAATTACTTTATGATTTGTGGATTGTTTTCACGGATTTCTTTTAATCTTTACTAAATTGACCAGGATACAAATTAGGCTGCTGTAATAGACACCACAATATAGAAGGTTGAACAAAACAGCTTGTCTCTTCACTAACAGCCTGTATGCAAGCAGTCCAGGGCTGCTAGGGCAACTCCCAGGACAGGCACACAGGCTGCTGTTTCTCATTTCTTTGTTCTGCTAATGTTTTTTTGTCCTCCTCTGCATGATTCCGGATGGCTGACCACTCCATCCACACGCCACCCAGTGGAGAAGTTG